CATATGATATGTACAAAACTATACATACTGTATTGTATACAAATACGAGATATCCATAGATATCCCCGGTGGCCCCCAAACGATTTGCCATTTGGTTACCAAATAACTTGGAGTTATGGTGGATACATCTATAGTCAGATGGGATTATAAATCAACATATAACGGAAGGGGGTCCTGCGTACCTGTAAGCAAGCTATCAATCCAGCCGGTTTACCACGCCCGGTCCACCAAATCTTCTTCCAAAGTGACCACCCGGCCTTTTCCTCTTTCTATGTATAATAATAGGGCCCATATATATATACATATATATATAATATCCATACTATTGTAGCAAGCGCCTCGAAAAGGCAAGGTGGGGGGTCAAAGAAACAAGGTGGAGGATCAAAAAATCGAGGTCCAATTTTTCCGGGGTCGGCGGCAGGGGCGGCAGCCCTTAATAATCCACTAGTCAACCTCTGGACAGGAGTGTTAACCATTGTTGACACTTGTTCTCCATTAATAACAGTTGTAAACCGTTAATCAAAATGAGATTAGTAACCGGCTAACAATATTACAGTGTGCATCAAAAATACACCATGAATTCCAGTCAAATTGGTGTAACAACATTGATAAACCATTAATCACCATTAATTATAATATTAGTACCACTGTTTGCACCATGCTTATTATACATTGTGATTAACGCCTGGCATATCAACCACCATTATAACAAATAATGACCATTAATCACAACTAAGTATAACCATTTATTGCACCATGACTTCCAGAGGCCCATCCAAAGACCTAGACCATTTGGGTGTAGAGTTAGAACATCTATATGGGTAGCGGAAGTACAGGGTAACCCTGATATCCAGAGGATTATAATATTTGAATTTTTTGAACATGGTGTTGTTTAACTAGCATTTCTTGATTGCACAATTTGCAATCACTAAGTGATATTTATCTATAAGTGAATCATTATATAATTGTCCATGCCATTATAATATGAGTACAGGTGTTATTTGATATTAATTAAGACTAATCAGTCATTAATCATCATGAACAACCATCATCCATTTGTTACAACCATGCTTTCCATTAATCAACTTGTTGTCACCATTGTTATTACAACCTATTAGGTAACCATTGACTGTAACATATATTTTAATCATGGATTATAATGATTATATAACATTTATTATAGCCATTATTTACAATTCATTAACCATCAATCACAACCATTAACCTTTATTTCCAGATCCACTAGTCAACCTCTGGACACCAGTGTTAACCTCTGGACACCAGTGTTATTAGTCATGAAAATAGCTGGCAGTGTGTCAAAACCTTGTACCCCTGTAGTTCACATCAAAATAGCTGGTAAATGGATGTTCATCCCCCTAAAAATGGTATTAATGGGTATTGATCCATACCCAGCTCACAATTTTCACCATCCACGAGGGACTTCAGCAAGTGACTTGTGCGCTTCTCGCTTGGCCATCTGGTCGTAGAGCGGATCCACCCCAGGGCCCAGCTGCCGACGCAGAGCGTCCAGTGCGCCCTGGGTGGAAATGCCTCGGCTGTATGGCGGCGAACGCCGGCTGGAGCAAAACTAACGTGAAAAGCGTGGGAAAATGTGGAAATGGAAAATCTGGGATTATCACAGGAGAATGTGTGAAAAGCAGGGCAATTATGCGAAAATCTAGGATTATGATAGGAAAACGTGGGATTATGGTGGAAAAAAATCCAAAAATCACAGGAAATATGAAATAATTCATATTCATCATCTATAAATGATTGATCTGTGGCTGGACTGGGGTGAAAAAATTGGCAAAAAATGGTACTAACCTCCGTAAGTTGGGAACTTGCTACAACCTCTATAACGATGGTTATATATCCGCACAAAACGTGGAATTGCACCCCCAAGTACGGAGTGCGTTTGAAGGAATGAAATATGGTCTGAAATTGGATTTACAGTATCTATAAATATGGTTGGTGATCGTTTTGTGTCAGTGATGCCCGTCCAAAATCATAATTTGATTAAGGATTTCGCCAAGAAATAAATGGCAATGGGTAGCGCGTATACAAAGAGATGCAAGGTTGCAGATTTTAGAAAATTACAACTTTTCACAAGGAGTGCATCATAATTATCATCACCCACGACATGTTGTGGGTGCCCCACGTTCAAACTTACCCAAAGATGAGGAGATCATCCAGTAACCCCAAACATAGCTTGGATCATGAGATCCATTCAGGCGCCCACCGATCTGGCTCATCATGCTGTCCAAAAACATAGACATGGCCTGGGCTCAAGGCTTTTTTCCCAAAAAAGGTGTAGCTGTCCAAAATTTGAGTGTAGCAACCCAAAGAAGGACAACTCAATTCCTGCTCTAATGGTGACAAATTGCGTTTCTATCCTTTTGGGGGTTGCTTAAAGGCAATTATTTGATGGGAAAATTAATTATGATGATGAGCCATAGGCGCGCGGGCGTTTCTGATGGGCACACTCGCAAAAAATGCGATTCTTCATGGGGGAAACGGTGATGAACGGATTCACCCGTGGATTTTGGGTATGCCCGATGTTTGAGCAAACACATTCCATGTATTGGGCGATCCCGACCCTCATGCCAGGATCGTGAAAGCTGTTATTGTTGGAGGCAAATGCCAAAAATGTGCCTTGATCGCTGGCAATGTTGGGCTGGGGCATCACCCCAAGCAGTTATATATCCCCTACTTATCCCTCCATTTACCCAGAAATCTCAGAATGGCATGTAAAATGTGGGGTTGGTTGAACCTCTCTTCTCACCACAGTTGGAAAAGGACCTCTGTTCTTAAGAGGAGGTCTCTCAATCAGGCTACTATATATATATGTGTGTGTGTGTGCGTGTAAAAAGATATAAATTTATATGTATATATATATGTGTGTGTGTATATGTATATGTATATATATATAGATATAGATATAAGAACGAAATTAGAAAGGATGCGCCATGAAATAATAGAATGTGGCATGACTCCATCCCCAATTATGAATCTCCCTTATACAGGACCCAGAATGAAAAGCTCCAATACCAAATCGTGGTTTCTAGGGGGAGTTCAAATTAAAATTGAGGAAACTTCTCTGCAAATATCTATCCAAAAGGATATCAGGTTCGATTGCCAGGATCAATTGCCGCGTGTTTTTCTTATTGTTTAGGAACCCGACCCACATTCTAGGTTTAAGTCTGGTACACCACACATGTGTGTATAATATAATAATATATATATACCATGTGGGGCCCCTCAGTTATAATGCTGGGCTATAACTCCCACTAACTATAGTTATAAGTTATAAGTTAGTATCACAAACGATAGTTATTGGAGATATAAACCAACTTAGCTATCCAGGGGGCCCCAGTTTTGCCACCATCCCATTCACCAAAGCCACCTCTGGGGGAATAGGACCCGCAGAGCCCCAACTTCCCCCCGCCCCTACTGAGCCCAAAAAGGGGAGCTCAACGGGTGCAGCAAGGCTGGTGGTTTCGCAGGCCGACTGAATTTTTTGTGCCCTCTGGTGTCGTGAAACGTGGCTGGAAAATCTCTGTGGCCTGAATGGAGGTTTAGAGTTGGGAAAATAATCGAACTCAATGGGGAATGTTCAAGTGCCATGTTTGATTACCAGAGGGTTTTTCTATCTTTGTCATGAGGAATTGTCATTGGTTCTTCGGGCAAATGCATGTGACCCAACACCATCCAAAACTCCGGTCCATCTGAAAAACCTTCAGAAGTGGAAAGCTCCGAAGAATCCACTCCGAAGCCAATTATGTCAAACAAATATGAAGGGGATATCCCCTAAATACGTATACATATATATATATGTATATATATATGGACATATATTGTTTTTGGTATTTATCCCTTATTGATCCCTCACTTAAATGGGTCAAATGGGCCGGCTGGACTGCACCTTGCGGAGCTCTGCCTGCCATCGGTACGGGTCAAATTTTTGGTTATGGGTCACAAAGAGGTACCCATGGACTGGCGAATCGTTTGTTCTTTAAAAGGAAAATCAACGACCTCCGAAAATAAGCTTCCGTTGGCCTCGTGAAGGTAGAATATTTTGTGGTGAACCTGATTGACCACCTACCTGGTGTGGTGAATCTGATGGGCGCTCACAAATGAGGGTGCCCCCTCCCCCATCTTAGCTACGCACTAAATCATCAAGCTTGACTCACCCTCATCTACGTCTTTGTCTTCGCAAAATCTACACCAAGATCATACAACGCTCATGGATATTACATTAAAACATCATGCAACGTTTGAATCATTCGTTTCCGAATGCATCATTAAATACATATTTCGATATATTCGAGTCATTTCCATGATTCGTGAGATGCTCATCTGCCACCGACCCAGCACATCTTTTCACAGCAATCGAGATCTGTCAGCTCCTCAGGAGCTGGAGGGTTCTAGCAGCCGCAGGGGAGCAAAGGTCCGCCGGGCCAAGGGTTGCCCGTGAACCCATAGACTTTCCATTTAGACTCTTGTTATCTCTTGTTGCTGCCGGTTGCTGCACAGGAATAGTGATATATACCTGGAAATACCTATATAGGCAACACGTGTGTCAAGTTGCGCCGGACTTGGGCCAGGCTAGTTCAGCGGCAACCACCATCCCACTTTGGTCGTTGGGTAGCGCGCTCTGCACCATTGGTTGGTGCAAACTATGGCGTGGTTGAACCACACCAGTTTCTTTAAAATGATCCGCAGCCGTGCACCAAGGACTACGGCGGCATGGGTGACATGCTAGCGCAGAGATGTGATTTTGGTGTGCAGCTGGATAATTTCCGTTAAAAACACTGACAGTGCTGAACATGCCTCAAACTGAACACCACCGAAAACCACAATTGTTGTCTTAAAATGACCTTGCTCGTGATCCAGTTTGGTAGTTTGATCACATGGGGCGATTAAGATGGGTCGATTAAGATGGGTGATTCCAAGAATGGATGGTTTTATATGGTTTTTATTGTTTTATACTACAAATGCTCAATTTTCTGGGCCCAGCCAGGTACCTCATTTTTTGGTCCCTCAGTTGAACTCAGCTGTCTCACGTCACATGCGGTTGTAGGTCACCCGTCCAATGGTTTCCGTGAGCCCTCCAGCCGACTCAAGCTTGCTGCGTCCCTCACGGACAAAGACCGCCAGCATGATGCAGGCCATGACCTGCACCGTGGTCGGCTAACATGGCCACATGGTACCAACAAAAATTGCATCAAAAAATCACCAAAAATCAAAAATGTGTAGAGCTATGTGGTGTTTTATTCATCTACACATATGATTCATATGATGTACACATGCACAAACACAAGCATATGTACTATATAATATGATCTATCTGTCTATCCATCCATCCATACATCCATCTATCCACCCATCTATATGTAGAGTTTCTGCGGTATGCGTCTCAACTGTGCCGCTGTCAACTTGAACGGCCACTCAACACGACCACCATCTGGCCCATGTTTGACAAAAGTCGTCAGCAGCTCAGCTTAGCACCACAAGCGAAGCGAGGACGGGGAACAGGATATAGCCCTCACCTGCGGTGAAAAATTGTCAAATCGCATGGGTATTTCCCAAAGTGGCCGGTACCCTGAGCCCATGAGTTTCAATACGATCTTAACTAGTTGCTGTCTAATTTTGTATAATTTGGTGGCACCCCTCCATTTGGAAACAGCCCTATATTGGTCATTGTGTATTGACCATTATTAACCAACCATGTTGGGGTTCCAAAATTTGACTCATAACTTGTTCCAAAATGGGCATGGACCCTGCTTTGTGGCTACTTTCAAGAGGAAAACAATGAGCGACCCATGAGATTTTGGGGTTGACGCTTCGTTCAGAGTTCTCCTTGCCATTTCATACCATTTCATGCCATCTGGACTTTTTTGATTTTTTCTGGAAAGTCACAATTTGCATTTCTCCACTGCACATCGACCCCCCTGTTTCCAGACCCACCTGGCAGCATGCGATCCCTGCCCTGGTCGCGGTTCAAGAAGAAATCGTACCGGGCCTCTACTCCCTCCTGGCAGGTGCAGGAGGGGTTCCCAAGTCCTATGTCCGCTGGGAAATCCCCGTGGCCTAGCTATGGAAGTTTAGTTCGCGAAAATCATCGACCTAAATGGTGGGGAAATCCATCACCATTCATCACCAGCCATTGACCGTTCTTAACCAGCTAAATATGGACATGTCCAGCTAGACATCTTCGCCCATCTTTGCCATCAGGTCTTCAGATCTCTTCAGTGCCTTGAAGTCGTTCTTCACCACATGATGGTTGTGGATCTGGTTCACTGGCCGGTTAAAGTGCCTGAGGCATTGAAGCGGCAGTCGGTGCTGATGCTGATGCTTACACTTTCTGATTCATAGCCATGGAAGTCACATAAATTTATTGGCTAGTCATGATCACTACGATGGGTCCCAACTGCTGGTTAGTTACATGTTAATCACTGGCTCATCTAGTTCCAAACTCGCAATTAAATGGGATGAGATGGCGACGTAGAGTCACTTCAACCTTCACCAAAAGTAATGTCTGAAATGCGAATCCGGGTTTACCGAGGCACGCGAAAGGGAATTCCACCTTGAAGGTTTCCCATTGCGCCAGACTCATGCTGAAGACGTGGTCAAAGACAAACCTCGTTGATGCTGTACCCAGACTGCAAAGGCTTCAGCATCTAGCCAAACATCGTTCGAAAAAGAGAAAGGCGTGAATTTCTACACCAACCATTGTCACCTGCCATCCAAAACCCTGCCCTGCACCCCGACTGCCACTGCTAGGAGCCATTTGATCTCTTCATGGCAATCGGGAGTCGTGAAGCTACCATCGTATCCTGGAGTCCACAGGGGTGCTGAAATGTCCCCTTCAAACACTGCCGCCAATCATTGTAATAACCCAGAAGAGAAAAACTATATATATCTCTCTCTCTCTCTCTCCCTCTCTCTCCATCTATGCATATATAAAAGCAAAATAATACAATTATATATACGTATATATATATATATATATACGTATGTACGTATGTACGTATGTACGTATGTACGTTTGGCGGTGTGTACGTGTGTATGTCTGTATGTCTCTGTATGTCTCTGTATGTCTCTGTATGTCTCTGTATGTCTCTGTATGTCTCTGTATGTCTCTGTATGTCTCTGTATGTCTCTGTATGTCTCTGTATGTCTCTGTATGTCTCTGTCTGTCTCTGTCTGTCTCTGTATGTCTCTGTATGTCTCTGTATGTCTCTGTATGTCTCTGTATGTCTCTGTATGTCTCTGTATGTCTTTGTATGTCTCTGTATGTCTCTGTATGTCTGCGTATGTCTGTGTATGTCTGTGTATGTCTGTGTATGTCTGTGTATGTCTGTGTATGTCTGTGTATGTCTGCGTATGTCTTTGTATGTCTGTGTATGTCTGTGTATGTCTGTGTATGTCTGTGTATGTGTGTATGTGTGTATGTGTTTATGTGTGTGTGTGTCTGTATGTGTGTATGTGTGTATGTGTGTATGTGTGTCTGTGTGTCTGTGTGTCTGTGTGTCTGTGTGTCTGCCTGTATGTATGTATGTATGTATGTACGTATGTATGCATGTATGCATGTATGTATGTATGCATGTATGCTTGTATGTTTGTATGTTTGTATGTATGTTTGTACTGTATTGTATTGTATTGTAGCGCATTTGCATTTGTATTTGCATTTGTATTTGTATTGTATTGATGTATGTATGTATGTATGCATGCATGCATGTATGTTTGTACGGTTGTACATTTGTAAGTTTGTAGGTTTGTTTGTCTGTCTGTATGTATGTATCTATCTATCTATCTATCTATCTATGTATGTATGTATGTATCTATCTATGTATGTGTCTATCTATGTATGTATGTATCTATCTATGTATGTATATGTATGTATAAGTATGTATATGTATGTATGTGTATGTACATGCATGTATATGTATGTATATGTATGTATATGTATGTATATGTATGTATATGTACGTATATGTATGTATATGCCTGCGGACCGAAAACCGCGCTCGTAAAACGCACGTTTTTGAATATCGCTATTTTGGGGTGGGGTAGGGTGGGGGGGTGGGGGATGTTAACGTACCTTGTACTTCGTACATGATCCATTGCTACGCTGCTGAGATCTCTAGGATCGTTTACTACGTTACATGTTGCTACGCTGCTGATGGGGTGGGGTGGGGGGGTGGGGGATGTTAACGTACCTTGTACTTCGTACATGATCCACTGCTACGCTGCTGAGATCTCTGGGATCGTTTACTTCGTTACATGTTGCTGCGCTGCTGATGGGGGGGGGGGGGGGGGTGGGGGATGTTAGCGTACCTTGTACTTCGTACATGATCCATTGCTACGCTGCTGAGATCTCTGGGATCGTTTACTACGTTACATGTTGCTACGCTGCTGATGGGGTGGGGTGGCGGGGTGGGGGATGTTAACGTTCCCAGCTGTAACTTCCAATTATAGGGTATTTCATGGTATTTCCGTATTATTCCCACATGATTCATGGTATTTCATGGTATTACCATGTTATTTCCATGGTATTTTCCCATGATTTCCCGTTATATTCTGGAGGGCAAGAATACTGGCCTTGGGGCTCCCAAAACCAGGACACCAAGTCACGGTAGAAGTTGCCATTCAAGGCTGGGCCGAGAGATCGCATGAGGTCAATCGGCCGCCTGGCTGTCCTTGGTGGATCAAAATGCTGGGATTTTCCATGGGGAAAACCCAGGGTGTGGTTGGGAAACTCCTTGAAACCTACGAAAGCCTGGTAAAATATGGTAAAATATATTAAAATATATAGTAGATAACATTAGATAACTATAGATCCTTAGCTCCTGGACTGGAGAGTTATAATTATGGGCCGCGGGGTCTTATGGTTTCCAAGTGAAACCTCTTCACCCTGGAATCCCTAAGGTACTGAACCAAGATAGCTGGTATGGATGTTCACCATTGTTCACCCCCTTCCAACCTAGGGTTCCACTGGTACCGACCCCCCTTCATTCCATGCTTCTTATAGGTGTTGTTTGGAATAGTCTCCTCACCTTGGCAACGTCGAGGTTGAGGTGCAGGACCATTTTTCAGGTTCGCTGGGCCCAAAATTTCGGCGCACCCGTTAAAGAGTTGGACGGTTACTGTAATGGTTGAACCCAATCAAAAAGAAACAAGTCAATCCATCTAGGCCAGGTTTGATCGAAAATGCTTGACTAACACAAACCTGCAAAGCAATGCACGGCCAAAGTTCTATCCTACCAACAAAATGGATCAAAATGGATAGATAAATCAAAACGCCCAGTTTTGTAGATCGACTGATCCTGGTCGCCCGGTTTTGTCGCCATTCCAACCCTCCAAGCATGGCACCCAAGTAGAACTGTTTCAGGAAATGACTCTCCTCCTCTCCAATATCGAACATGAAGCCCAGTACCACCAAGGGGAAGGAGTCGTAGGTGTTCTTCCTCTGCAGCGTGGTAATTTCTGCGTAGCGTTAGTCCCACCTAAAATAAAATACCTCCAAAAGAAAGGTGCTGAGGGGGCTCCCCCTAAAACAGAGCATCAAAAGGGCAGATTTCGGTGGTCTTGTGGGGTCAAAAGGGGAAGCCAGCACCTGACCAAATCAAACAAAACTAAAACTAGCGTGATTATTATCACATGGCCAATCATGTAGATCCAAACGTTCCAAACACCTACTGTAATTTACAATCCTGCTCTTGGAATTTCGACTTGATGATTGACCGCTTGGATCCGCTGGGTCACAAAACGGTAGAGCCCACTTTATCAACCAAGGCTCTGTTGTCCTACAGCAACTTGACGAGTGTGCACCACATGCAGTTCGGCTGAGAACTGGCGTCCATCGATGAGATGTTCCGAAGGCATATGGAGATGAAACTGGGCCTGCGCCGAAACTTCTCGGATCAAAATCACTGAGGGTGTAATGTGGGTAAAACAATAATAAAACACCACCAAATTTCCAAATCCCATAAATGGGTGCTATAAACCATTCCCCAATGGGTGGCTTATGGCATTGTTTTAATTAACCATATGATTCAGTATCCACCAGCAACCACCAGCAATAAGGGCCTATTGACCGTCATTGGGGGGTGCACCATGGTTCACTTGGGGGGCTGGTGGCCAGCAAAAAAAGTTCCACATGCGGTGGCCAGCCAAGCCGACCGCCAATGATCCGGATTGCATGTCCTCTGGTTACTTAACATAGCTATTGGAAATGGCCATTTATAGTTGGTTTTCCTATTAAAAAACTAGACGACGGATGGCCCGAGAACGTTGAGGAGCAGGGTCTTCTGTTGTTAGTATTGAGACACTATATTACAAGACAATATATTAAAGATGTATTATAGTCAGACGAGAAGAGTAGTATCAAGACAATATATTACAAGTACAAGACAATAGTTTGCATCGTGTCCTTCGTATAGTTTTTCACGCACAGAACCTTTTACACACAGACGCTTTTGCACACAGAAGCTTTTACACACAGAAGCTTTTACACACAGAGACTTTTACACACAGACGCTTTTACACACAGAAGCTTTTACACACAGAAGCTTTTACACACAAACACTTTCACACACAGAAGCTTTGACACACAGAAGCGAAAGGGTTGCGACCAGATGCGTGAAATCGCAATTTTACCGCAGTTTTTGGCGATCGAACCACATTTCGTGCCAAAGGGTTGCGATCGGACCCGTGAAAGTACAATTTTACCTCAATTTTTGGCGATTGAACCTCGTTTCGTACGAAAGCGTTGCGACCGGACGCGTGAAATCGCAACTTTACCTCAGTTTTTCGCGATCGAACCTCGTTTCGTGCGAAAGGGTTGGGATCGGACGCGTGAAATCGCAACTTTACCTCAGCTTTTGGCGGTCGAACCTCGTTTCGTGCGAAAGGGTTGCGTTTCGTGCCGTCTCGTTGGCACTGCCCCGCGCCTTCAAGAGAGAAATAGGAAAGAAGGAGAGAGCAAGAGGGCAAGAGAGCAAGAGGGCAAGAGAGAATGTGAAGATATGAAGATGTGAAGATGTGAAGATGAGAAGATGTGAAGATGTGAAGATGAGAAGATGAGAAGATGTGAAGATGAGAAGATGTGAAGATGTGAAGATGAGAAGATGAGAAGATGTGAAGATGAGAAGATGTGAAGATGTGATGTGAAGATGACAAGATGAGAAGATGTGAAGATGTGAGGATGTGAAGATGTGAGGATGTGAGGATGAGAAGATGTGAAGATTTGAAGTGAGAAGATGTGAAGATTTGAAGATGTGAAGATTTGAAGATGTGAAGATGTGAAAATGTTTGACAGACCCCCACTATTAGAAGAACCCTTCGCTCAGACGCTCTCGAGAATGATGCTTTTCCATGGCAAACGCTTTTGGTTTAGCAAAGCCCAGTGACCACATCATAGAAGTCTGGGAAGCCATCTTCCCCTATCAGCTTGATGTAGCCAAACCTTCCAGCCAGAGAGCATCACATGGGGATTGAGTATTCCGATTTTGGACCGGGTAAGTTGGGCAAACTTAAAAAATGGTGTATGCCATGTGCATACGTTTGTGTTTCGACAGAGGTGTGTGATGACACGTGCACGCACATGAACAGATACATGTATCGGTACTGTGTATTGTGAAAATTTGCGTATGCATACCCTCTGGTAAACTAACATAACTATGGAAAATCACATTTCTTCATGGGAAAATCCACTATAAATGGTTATTTTCCATTGCTATGTTAAATTACCAGAGGGTATACACATTCGCATTCAACTGCCAATGCTCACCCAACCACAACACAGCCCTTTCCTTCCAACAAGTGTGATGCAGCCCCGAAGCATGTCATTGGTGACCTGCAAGCTGTGTCCGTTGTTCGCAATTTTTAGATCATGCACTGGTTTCCAATCCTTACAGGCATCGGCTGCCACCACAGACTGATCTTTTGGAGGCAATGTGGGAAATAGCCATAATAGCTGTTCGTTCATTGGATGTCTGGGGCTTCATACCAGGGTATCAGGATATGCGTTATCTATAATATATATATATATATATAATCATACATAATTAATATATATATATATAGTATGTGTGTGTGAGAATATATATATATATACACACTGCCTAGACTTTCCAAGAAAACATATAGGAAAAACATGGAAAAAAACACGTGTTTTGTCTACTTGCGAGACCTGCTGTCCAAAAAACTTTCTCGGTAGCAGCACAGGCCAGTTGGCAGTTGCACGAGCAGGGCATAGCAGGGCAATGTGCCTCCCACTTCTAGGTGACAGTCTTAAAATATCTTACCCTCTGGTAAACTAACATAACTATGGAAAATCACCATTTTTAATGGGTAAATCCACTATAAATGGCCATTTTCAATAGCTATGTTAGTTTACCAGAGGGTAAAATGTCCCATGGAAAAAATCAGGATTTTCCGGTGCTAGATTGGCCAATTGGCCAATTGCATCCAACAATGGAAGGCTACTCGTAAAAGGTCTCCCCCACCTGCCAGAGATGGGGCATAGCCCAAAATGACTGACACATACTGACACTTAAATTTTAGAAATTGCTGGGTTTACTATGTTTACTCAAATTCATGGCTTCCTCATTTCACACTAAACGTCACACTGGGAAGTCCCCATGGCCGGCTCCGGATCTCCGAGGTGCCACCCGGCTCAAGAAATTGCCCTTCCCGACCTCATTGGTGCCAGAGGCCACAGGGGATTTTCCAGAGTATAGGTGGCCAACAAGCCATCTTAAAGCCATCTTCATAGAATACGTGGAACAAAGGGCGGAATTCCATTGCCCATCACCCCACGGTTTTGTTTCGGGTTTCTCTGATGGGGCACCTATATGGGCTCATGGGCACCCCAGTGTGCGCGTGTCACCCAAAATCCATTGGTTCAAAACATCATGTTCACATCATGTTCACATCATGTGCGCCATTAACAGTGGCCATAACTTGAGTGTATCCCGGACATTTCTGAACCCCTCCTATTGCTAGGTGTACAACTCATCGCCGAGCAACCGTCTCAACTTTGTTGGACAAGATGTCGATGGGCGACCTCAAAAGGCCATGTGGGAAGCCCCAAAGGGTTTGAAGGCTATGAAGGCTATGAAAAGCTCATCAAAGCCCAAAAATGGAGGACAATTCTGGAAAATGTGGGTGTGATTTTCATTGATGTCTTTGTTCGTTGGGTTTATACCACATTAGAAGGTGGCGGTGAACTGTGAGCCAGGGAGCTGTCGTGTCCCTGTCTTGCAGGTAGGGTAGATCACATCCCAGCCTCAGGTTGCCATGGCTGACCGTGGCGTCATTGTCGTGGCATCATTGTCATGACATTGGTGGATGAAATGACATCCATATTGTGCATTTATATAAGAAGAACCATTTTAAGGGCATCCCCATTTAGAGACAAACCCAAATTTACTTCAATTTTGAGGCATGCCCATACAAAGTGCCGGTCAGAACTCAGATCTCACATGTTTGTTCACATCGTGGGTTTTGAAAATAGGGCACCCCTAAATCCATTGGTTCCCATTTCAATGGCTTGGGGATGCCCATTTTCAGACAAGCCCCCATTGGTTCCCACTGGTTCCTGCTTCGGGCAGCAGTGCACATCGTCGTAGGTCCAATGGGCATTCGCGTCACACTGTTGGTGCCAACTCAAAGCCCAAATTGGAAGTCCATTCTTGAAGACCTGCTGAGGATACTCCTGCGCCACAAAGGTTGGTCAATGTGTGGCCCTGTTTCATGGGACATCCTTTAATCGTGCTTCTTGAGTTGGTAAAACCCCCCAAAAATCTATCAAAATCGAAAAAAATATCCATTGAAACTCCCATGGTTTGTTTCTTGAGCAGTAAGACCGTCCAATTTCTGGCATCTTTACATGGGTTTGTCCAAGCATAAGGCTACCCAAAGAATATTCAAGGCCTGTAAAAACTTCATGTTGCCTCTTAAATTGATGTTATATAAATATACCAAATGTCTGGAGAATCCCAGGCACTTTGTCCTGCTTAGTGAATGTGATTTGAGGATACCTGCGGCGTTTTTCGCTGGCCAGGGGTCACCAGCCCGAGCTGTTGATGGTTAAACCAACTCATCCCGAATATGGATAGAAATGGTGGATCTGCACATCTACAAGTAAATCTGTCGACAACATCATGTGTATATATTTTGAAAAAATGATGCATTTAATTGTTAATTCATGTATATATCTATTTATTTACTATACAGATTACGTTGTATCATCTGTATCTGTATGCATGCATGCATGCATGCATGCATGGATGGATGGATGGATGGATGGATCGATATTTACTACATATGTAATTGTAATTAATAACTTGTGTATTACATACATGTGATCAAAGCATGCACATGTGTATGTCACATCACGCTACAAACCAAAGTAGAACCAAATGTTGATTGAAAATGATTGAAACACTCATCGGTTCAGTATCATCCAAGTCCCGATCATATCAGGTACGGACAAGCCCGGGTGCTTCGATTTCAAACTACCAACCGGTTCTGTGCCTAAACCATCCTAAACCCAGCTCAATGATATGGCAAACATGGGCAAACCGCTCTGGTTGAATTAATTCACCAACCTGAAATCAGCCCCACATGGTGGAATCCTCACCGGTCGACCAGTGACGACAATTTCATCCCCACCCCAACGATAAATTGGTCGAGCAAAAAACGATCCAACTGCAGATGTATCCACTACTTCCAACTTAGCCTAGTGATGATGGTCATGTTTACCAACTTACCTATCTAATCCTATCTATCATTATCTATCTAGGTATCTAGGGGGCCCAGAACTGGTGACAAAACTCCTCAGACCTCGCCAAGGCCGCCTCACAGAATCCACTCCACTCACAGGCAGCTGCAAATAGTTGAGCTGAGTGAGACTTGCGGTGATCGGTGTCGTGAGGGCAATCCACCTGCCAGGCGATTACCAAAAGGACCAAGAAATAGCAGATTTCGATGGACTCAAAATGTTGCCATTTTTCTCTCTCTCCATCGTCATCACCCTGTCCTAAAGACTAGGAATCTATACTGCAAAATTGTCTAAAATGGATTATACTGGATCTTTCATGTTCCTTACGCGTCTTTATATCTGCTTTCTCTGGAAGCCCTGCATTTTAGGGTTGGCCCCGGATGCCATGGCGACCGGCCATGACCGGCCTCACACCCCACTTGGGGCAGCTGGCGTCGACAGCACCGCCGCTGTAGAAAAGCCAGTTGCCCGCTAAGGCGGCTTTGATCCCGCCCTGGCGCATGTTGCGGCACCGTCCGCTGACAGCTGGGACATAACTGGGAAAAAAAAAAGTCAGGTTTGCAGGACTATTGCAGGCCAATTCACGGTTCAAAGCATGGTACACCCCGAAATATCCGAGGCTTCCGGTAAAATTCAGAGAGACCAATTCCAGGTTCACATTAACCCTTCCTGCACTTCCAGCTATCCCAATAGAAACATGGAACAGGAATTTACCGCCAGTAACTTGATAGCGTTTTACCTGTCATCTGCCAGGGGGTGACTTTAAATCCATATCTGGATGTACCCAGGTTGCCTCGAGGTCGATAGTGTTCTCAATCTGGTAGGGGTGCTGGTCCTGCCACAGGGGATTGCCTATCCGCCTATCCCAACCCAGACCACGATATCGCAAGCTGAACGGAGCTGTAGAATGGATCTTGAAGATGGTTTTTCCTGCTCGATGGCGTATTTTTATATGTGCACCGTACACACACACAGATATATATAGATATATATACATACATAATATGTCTGTGCATGTGTATGTATGTATATATATATGTGTGTGTGTGTGATTGTATATGGACATGTATATGCATATGTTTATATACATATTATTGAACATTTGAAATCATTTGACTATTTTCAAGGGTTAATCTTAAACTGCAGGTGGGCAAATCCAAGAGAAATTGTCACATGGATGCTGTTCGGAAGGGAAACTGCATGGGTCTCCAACTCTTGGGATGACGCATGATGACGCCAGTGTGAATCTGCTCGGCACTTATGGAATGACCAGAGGCTAGGCAGTGCCGACCCCATTCAATCTCTGGAATTCGTGAAGGACCTGATGGATCCTGATGGGAATTCCTAGCTCTACCAAGTAGATTGGACAACCCACAGCGTCAACCCCAGCTTAATAAACAACCGGGTTGTTGATAATGGGGGGAATATTTTATCATATGTTGATCGAAAACTATCACTTTTGGGGCAACCACCGAAATGGATCAAGACTGTCAAATCAACCGACGTAGATTCATCCGGGGGTGACACCAATCGCCGAAAACGATCGGCTGCAATGCTCCAAGCATGGACTATCATACTGATTGATGAAGCGGTTGCAATTTCCCCGGTGCATGTGGCAACAACCCACGCCTTGATCGCTTCCTTATAGGCCTGGAAAGGAAGCCCAATCTGCCGCAGCAAGGCATTCTCCACCCCCAGCTTGATTGGCACCTCGACAAGCGCCACTTGGTGCAGAATCTCCAATTTTCAACAAGGTCAATGCCACCTGTCAAACTTCTGACCTGTGGATAGCATCTGCACCCTAAAAAAAATGAACCTGGAATTTTAGGGGCTCCCTGCTTCCCACTACTGGATATGTGGTCCTTCAATGGCCCATGGCCAAGAAACACTGATCCACAGTCGATGCAGTTCATCATCCCCGTAGGTGTCGTCCTTGTTGTGCTGATACTTCAGGCGCCGGTGCGCGCTGTGACCGCCGCCGTGGCCGCCGTGGGCGTCCGGATGGTCCGGCCCCCCGGGTCGTCCTGCAGCTGTGGCGTGGTGCATGTGGGAAGTCAAACGCCTCAGGCTGTAACTGGCAGGAAGTGGCAGGTAGCATGGTTGGATGCAAGCACACAATACATAATATATAATATATATATTATAGAATATATAATATATAAAAAATAATGTATAATATATAATATATATAATATATAATATATATAATATATAATATAATGTGTATATATATATATAATATAACTAATATTTTTAAAAAAAAATGTAAACTACATAAATAAAAAAAATATGTATAATTTAAATATAATATATATATATAATTAGTCTAAAATGAATACATGTGTATATATGTAAAATATAAATAATATAAATAGTATAAATAATAAATATAAATAATATAAATAATATAAATAATATAAATAATATAAATAATATAAATGATATAAATGATTTACACATAACATAAATAACATAAATAATATAAATAATAAATAATATACACAAAATATAAATAAAATAAATAATATAAATAATATAAATAATATAAATAATGTAAATAATATAAATAATATAAATAATATCAATAATTTGCATAATATAAATAATATAAATAATATCAATAATTTGCATAATATAAATAATATAAATAATACAAATAATATACACATAACATAAACAATATAATATACATATATATATGTATGTATGTATGTATGTATGTATGTATGTATGTATGTATGTATGTATGTATGTATGTATGTATGTATGTATGTATGTATGTATGTATGTATGTATGTATGTATGTATGTATGTATGTATGTATGTATGTATGTATGTATGTATGTATGTATGTATGTATGTATGTATGTATGTATGTATGTATGTATGTATGTATGTATGTACATGTTCTTTCGCCAAATGTCTTGCGTCAGATTTCATTGAAACACACGCTCCCACAGCTTTCAGCAACCCGGGTCCAAAGAGTAGGGCTGCCTGTGTACTAATCTCATCTCCAAAGACCAGGGATTCGATGATGATCTCCCCAACATGGCGCTCTCCATGGTAGGTATGGGACGACAGCGGTCGCACGGAGATCCTCATTTCGGCCGACTGGAGGTTGCATCCCGATAGTGGCCATGATTTCCTCAAGACTTTAAAGGAAAAAGCACTTTATAAACTATAGGGAAAAAATGCAGGGTTTGTTGATGTTGTGGGGCTTAACTGTTTGCCACATGAGTATAAATTAGTGTTGTCACGTCCTTAACGTTCCTGAACCCCCTGAGCACAACGTCCATCCCATCTGAGAAGCTTTCGTACCATGTACTTCTTCCCCAGGATCATGATAGTTCCGAAATTCGGCAGGGGTCCCGGCATGCCCATCTGGCGGGACTATGTTGTACTGGGTTGAAAAGGGAGGACTATTGGCTGTCAATGTGTGCAAACCCAGTCCATTGCCATCCTTTCCATGGTGATGACTCATTATAATAAGTTGATTTGGGTGAACCAATCCACTCTTGAATTGGATGTGATCGATGCTCAGTCGAGTTGTCAGACCAGCTCAAAGTTGGCTGCTGGCTTTGTTAACACATAAACTTCGTCAAATGGGAGCCACAGTGGTATATCATCTCCCCAAGTTTGAAAGCACCAGCGGCTCGACTTTGGTTGTCTTAGTTCTCAAAAACGGCAGGTGCTCACACTATTGGAGTTTGTTGGTAGGTCATAGCCCCCCACCATCCCGGAGGAAAAGCAAAACCCAATTCGACCTCTAGTGGGGTCACGTCAAGGCTGAAATTGCCTCAGCATGGCCACCCAGTTGCTCCCAGCATCCACTCCCACGCGTCCAGTTCCAAAAATGGCTCCTACCCAAGGCATGCATACCCTCTAAGAAAATGTCCAAAGATGAGCTGAACTGGACTCAAACGGTGGATTTATCAGGCCAATCACTACTACACTACCCCTTCAAGCTTGATCCAAGTAGGAGGTCTGTCCCAAGTTATCCTGCACCAAGGGGCTTGGGGCTACGTGTGCGTGCTTGACAGGTCGGAAGTTGAAGTAGGGTTTCCGGTCTTCAGACGTTGAAGCCTGATTGGAAGTGGCTGAACTACTCAACAAGGAGGACTTGTTGGTTTTCCCACTGAAAGATGTGATTCTTCATGGGAGTACCTGGGTTCAAAAATGGCTCGCAATTCATAATGGACGGGGAACTGGGCAAACTGGGCTGCAAAAAGCCTCTTGAATTCTTGGCCACTGATTTCTGCCAAGGTCTCCCAAATGAAAGGGAAAAGAAAGGAATCAGACCGCCCACTGCGCAGGAACAAAAAAACAATTCACCAGTGCCAAAAGGCCATGGTGGGGAGCAAATCGATAGGCGACTTCACGCAACCTCAGCGATTTCCAAGGACCTTCAACTTACTGGATGGAGCAATGCAGATGTTGGGGTTGATGGTCTTGGATGATCTTGGGACAATCTTGCTTCTGATACAAGCAAGCGACGATCAAAAAACAATGATGGCTCTAAACATCTCTAAACACTTAATCTGATCCCCTGCTTCTGGTTCATGAATGCTGCGCGCAAAAAGATTGCATTCTCGGCCCCGTCATAGATGATGAAGATTCCCAAACACAACAGCGAAAAGTTCGTGAGACAATGTGAGTTCATGGATCGGTGGTTTTTTGCCGCCAACCTTTTGCCCTAACAACATCATCCATGCTTCCCTTTGCCTCGCTTCAGCATCTTTACTCTAAAATCACCCTTTCATGGAGGTACATAGCGACTAGCCCTTGGCTGGATAAGTTTTGATGTCTCTGAAAATGCAGTATATCCCCCCCGTTGCCAACTAATGGTGATAAAATGTGATAAACCATCACTTGTGATCAAATTTGAGGCTTTTCCATGCTTTTCCGGTAGATTTGCAACCCAAAATTTTGGTAATTCCATCATCTTCTTATAAATTTCTGGGTGAACTATAATAATTCACTCACCTGAAAATGGCTGCTATCATAGCATTTGGGGATGATCCCCCGGATCCAATCCCCATCATTCCAGTGATGGAAAACGACGTGATGTCATTATAGTTATCATCCCATGTTGGTGAAAATTCCCATATCACATTAAATTCCCAGGGGTATCATCATGTCTTATCCCCAAATCAATACTTAAACATAGATAACATAGTATTCTCCATGGTATTATCATGTTGGTTAATACCCTCATAGTATGAGCACCCGCATAGTTGTAATACTATCCCGGCCCAACTATGATTATGTAACATGGTATTATCCATGGTATTATCCCATGTTGTTGGTTAATACCCTCATGTTGTCATTTCTATTGCAGAAAACCCCCAGTTATGACCTTCACAGTCCTGGCGATCCAACACGGGACTCTTGGCTTCCTCTGGCAGAAGGCCCGCGTCCCAACAGGCCGCTAAGCGATGGCTCTGGCCCTTCTCTTCAGCTGCCTGGGACGCACTGGGATGATGGGGTGATACATCATGGTGCATACTTCTCTATTTATCTCGGTTGATTCATTCATTCATCTTGGTTCCTATCTATATATATATGTATGTATGTGTGTGTAGAATGTGTGTGTGTGTGCGTGTGTGTGGAATGTGTGTGTATGCATATGTATATATATATCATATGCATAATATATATATATATACATACTTGTTGACACATGTAGATCTGCATATATCTGCATACATATTCCATACCAATATCAATATGATTCAATATTCTTACACGCATCATAAATGCGTTAACAACTGGGGCGCATCTTCAGTCACCATGGGCCGAGCATCCTTCGGTCCCATGAAGAATCCGAGTTATTGCCTTAACCCCATCAAACCGTAGTGATTTTATCACAATAAACCCAACAGTTCTACTAGCTTTAAACTTTTAAACCAACTTAGCTAAACTAAACCACATTAGACGCAAGAAATACGAGAAATGCACTGAAACCATATTAAACCCCATGAATTCCTTATGACATTCCATTGAAATCATATTACATCACCAGGGCCCTGTACCCATCCGATCTTCAGCGACACCTTGCAGGTGGCTCCGTGATGAGGACCTCCCAGCGTCAGGGAGTCCTTTGTCACCGTGCGGCAGGTGCCTGGCACCGAGCATCAAAATTCACAGCAACATGAATGGTGAAGAGAATTTCGCGAAAAAAAAAACACTTGGATGGTGCATAACTCGGGAAAATGCTTGAGAACTTACGTAGGACTGAGGACAAGTGAATGGTTCATGACTAAAAATTCGGCGTCAAGCGGGTATTTTATCAACAACATCGGGGGTTGAAGCATCTTTAAGCATGCCAAAGCATAGCTAATATAACCGTAATAGTATAAACCCAAGGTCTTTGGGCTAAAAGTAGATTTACAGGAAACTATGGGTGGTCCACGAACTATAAGGGGATTCGTGTAATCCCCCCTTGGGGAAGACCAATCAAAGAATATGAAGGTCAAGTAGGGCATCATTTCAGGAAAACACCAACCAGAGATTGTGTTGGAAACCTACGTGAGTATTTAACTTTAAAGCCCATCCAAAACTCAAGAGTTTCTGGCATGATTTCCTGAAGACAAGTCTGTGATGTCTGTGGAAAGATGAGTAGCGCCATTCAATCATTCAAAGAACCAGATAGCACAGTTCGATTAACACCTCTCACGGAAACTGCAGTTCAAATCTGCTTAGGATCATCTTGCGGCAAAACATGGGTACGGCAAACAAATTCCCTATTTGAAATTGGCGATGTTCCATTGCAATGCTTTGCTGTGGAGGGTAACCAGCACCTCTTAATCTTCTATGACTCTATGACCGTCAAGTCGGAGCTGCGCCTTTCACAGTAGCGCGCTTGTCTTTTCCACCTGTGGACGCGACCCAAGAGAAGGGACAAAAGCCATCAAAACAATGGAGCTTACCCTGTGAATAATGATCAAAACTACTAATGATGGTAGTAATAATACGGTCAAGTTTAACGGGGGTGGGAATTTATATTCCTAATACCATTCTTGATCTTCCCAATTGAATGTAAAGTTTAACGGGGGTGGGAATTTATATTCCTAATACCCTTGTTGATCTTCCCACTTGAATGTGAAGTTTAACGGGGATCGGAATTTATATTCCTTCAAAATCCCTAAGAAGTTGTGTGGGCGAACTGGGGGGTTTGCGCGTAATAATACCAATCCTATGACACTAACAATGACAATACTTATTTCTTCATTTTGTAAATCATCTATAACTCGGATATGGTCCCCCGTGTCATCGTAAGGCGTAAGGAGCCCAGGCAACCTGCCCAACATCGGAGCGTTTCTTCCAAGGCTTTCGTTTGGGCTGGAAGGACTGGAACTGCCTGGCATCCAGCTTCACTGCGACCGCTGCTTTTTTGCAGCATTAACAAACGAAGTGCGGCAACAAGTTGAGAATATCATGGGGATATTAATGGGATACATGTGTATATGTATATATATATGTGTGTGTGTATGTGTATATATATATACATATATATATATGTATATATATATATATGTGTGTGTATGTATATGTAACGTATGTATGTATATATATATATATATATAACTTGTCTAACCAACAATATTACTTGAAGCAATGAACTGAGTTCGGCACATTCCCCAAGACGAGATATTTGATGTTCTCATGGCAGGGCGGAACGGGCATGCTTCCATCGTACCTTGGCGGAACGCCGGGGCATCCTTGACGTTTAACAAAGGGTCTGTTCAAAAATAGCCCAAATCATATCGTAAAATATCGCATTTTGGATGTTGGGAAAAGTTTTCCCACATATATCAAGATCTCATAAGATCTCCATCCCAATCAAAATTGTAATCTTTAAACAATGAAAAATCCTACATCGCCCCCTGGGCATTGCGCTTTTTTTACATCAATGATCAAACAACCAACTTTTCGCGACCAAGGAGCAGATATGAAGCTCCCTTCGCTGCTTCTTCAATCTCCTGCCCCCGTTCCCGGTGATCTTCCCCCGAAAAGCTCCCGAACTAGTTCCGGGATGCCCCAGCCACGATTGATTCCGGGTATATAGAATAAGATCATCTGAAAAAAAAAAAAAAACATGTGCCTACAGATCAATATAAACATATACAGTACATACACACATGCGTAAGATTACGTAAGTATAGTAAGTATGGTTCATGTACACCTGGCACATTTATATAGTATATTATAGTAACATATGCCGTCATATATCACATATCCGTTCATATAATCGTTCATCCCTCCGCCATGAAGGCCAGCATGAAGCTGGATCAACGGGAAAGTTGGTGGAAGGAATCCATTGAACCTCCCCGTTATCCCAATAAAAATCCCGCGAAACATGAAAATCCTATCAAATCCCATTAGGATCCCACTAAGATCCCATTGAAATTCCCATTCCAAGCCCCATTTTTCATCATTTTTCTGTACCCAGGGGTTGATTACCTCACCTTGGCCACGTCGATGTAGTGCGGTGCATCCCAGGACTTGCTGGGGGAGTTGCCACTGCCGTCCGCTGAGAAGCCGAAGTGCGTGAAGAGGGGACTCTCGGTGCCGTTCTGGTCATCGAAGAAAACGCTTAAAATCAGGCCTTCCTGAGGCGTGGAAATTTTGAAGCATGATGGAGATCGGGGATCAAAAGCGGAATCCAACTGTATTGATAGAACATCTTAGATTGTTATGATTGGTTCTTGGAATAAAAAGATCATGTGAATCCGCCAGGGGGACCTGGTCAATTGTACTGCCACCAAAAATATCAATAGAAATGGATAGAACATGATAGAACTAACTTAGAATAAACCCATCAACTGAATCTCGGACCCCCCCACCTCAAACAACAACGCGCGCGCCCCTGCACCGCATCACCGCACTCCAAGCAACTCGGAGCATGTCAAGATCATCCTTTGGCTTGTGCAGCACCATAAGTTCCGCTGCCTCAGGTTGCCGACCAGTTGCCACACCTATACCGATACTTGTTCTTTTGTCAACCCAAAACATGGTCAGTGTACAGCACCGTTCACTTGTCATATTATTCCCGGTTTATTATGTTTATTTGTGTTTGTTGTCGTCATTTCCATGTTCCTTTCCAAAAATATCGGGAAATCGCCCCTGTTCCACTTTGCGTCATGCCCGTGGTCTTTTCATTGAAGTTGCCATGGGGCTTCTGGTCATATTCCCTACCCTCCAGTTAATCAAACATGGCAATGGAAAATCCCCGATGTAGTCAGTTCCCAGCTATAAACCTCCATTTAATTCGGGGATTTCCAGTCAGCATGTTTGAGAACCAATGTTTTTTTTTTAACTGTGGTAGTGGGAACAATCATCAAGCTAAATTACTAAATCCCCGTTTCTATGTTTAGAATTACCCTCCGGAAATCAAGCGTGACAATGAAATATCTCCTATAGATGGTCTTTTCCCGGAAAATCATCTAGAAATGGTGGGCATTTCCCCAATGCCACGGAAATGATGACCCTCCTCCGGGGTCGACCTCTCTCTCTTCGCCGGGCAGCGTAGTGCTTCCCGTCCATGGTGTGCATTGAGGGCGCCGTGAGCTGAGCTGAGATGGCTTGGAACTCTCGGTCATGGCCTGGGGATTTTGGCTGGGGAGAAATCACCCAAAATGGGGATTTCACCGTCTAGTGTCATCAAACATGGCGGAAAATGCCGATGATTTATAGATGTTTTTCCATAAAAATGTCCATGTATTACGATGTATTACGGGCATTTTCATTGCCATGTTGGATTGCCGGAGGGTAAACCAACCATTTGATGGGAATATCCATGGGGAAAATCATGGGACACCCTCTGGTAATGACTAAGAATTTGCGAACTGGTATTAGATGGCGCATTGAGTTCGATTACCAGGGTGTAGAAGCCTGGTGACTGGCATAGAAGAGTCATCCCATCCTTGTAGAAACTGTTTCCAATAAGAAGGAACTCAAAATGAAGATATGTAACCTCTGAACCATGTTTTTAAAGAGAGCTATTGAATATGGAATAAATTTTTGAGCGGAACAAGAAATGGAGATGTCATGAGGGAGCGCCCAGTTTCAATACAAATTCACACACACACTAGACAAGAATGGATGTATAATTGATCCGTCTGGAACTGAATCCCCTCACGTGCAAATTTGACTGGAAAACAATAACTGAAGAAGGAAAAAACGAATAATGGGAGGTACTCCGGAAACACAATCGAGACCAGAGACGCCTCCAAATAAGTCCCAAAAATTGAAAATAATCACTGTAGGGTTCTCAGGGTGGCCTTGGGCCATGACTGTAAAAATACCATGCAAATAGGTTGAAAACGACGCCAAAGAAAATCTCAGGTTGCGACAACCGTGTAAAACCAAAATTCTGTTGTTGAGGTTCTCGGCTTAGCCCCTTGCCACAACTGCAAAATAAACAGCAGGTACGTCACGGTGATCAGCCGTGATATCCGCACGTACTGTGGCCGCTTCGTTGGACCATCGCTCACAGTACATGGATGGTCCCCCCGCGATATATAAAAAAGAAAGTATGACAGAAGTTTTTCATCTATTCAGATGCTACACGCACACACACCTGGCCGGGGCCGGGTCAACCCTGAAAGGCAAGAGGAAGAAAAAAGTGGACACAAACGACGGGCAGAAGGCCAAAAACAGCGCAGGGGGGGAAGGAAACAAACGGACCTCCAGAACCAACCTACACGGCGAGACGGACCTAACCAGCAAAGCGAACACACCTAAACCCCACGACGCATTACAGAGGAGCACGGGGGAATAATTAGGAACCCAATGGGGGACTAGTTGGCGGCGGAAGTGAAACAACAAAATAATTAATAAATATTAATAAAGGTGGCCCAGTTAATCCTAAAGAGTCGTGCGTTACTCCCTAAACAGCTGTTCAAGTTCCAACGAATTATATAGATGCACAAAATGTTTTACCCCACCAACGAACCATCAAGAGAAAGAAAAACCACACCTAAAGACATGGGCCTGCCTGGATAAAGTTCCATGTGTCATGTTCATGGTCCACTCCAATGGCTTGAGCTGCAGTGATGAAAAAAAGTTTCTGGCTGTTCGGCGCCGCTTCAGTCGAGTAGAGTTTCAAGTTCCATAGGTTCACAAGGGACGGCAGGATCAGCGGGACAGCGCAGAAAAGGCTCATAAACGAAATGGCCAACTGTTGCGCTATGCTTAAACGAATTACCAGGTTAAAATTGTCAATTCTGAAATCAAGTCTGTCAGCATTCACCCTGATAAGGGTTCCCTCAGATGGGTCCATGGCACCTTGTCGGAGCCACCATGGAAATCACACTAGACAAGAATGGATCTGCAAAATTGACTGGAAAACAATAATTGAAGAAGGAAAAACGAATAATTAATGGGAAGCACTCCGAAAACACAATCGCGACCAGAGACGCCTCCAAATAAGTCCCAAAAATTGAAAATAATCACTGTAGGGTTCTCGGGGTGGCCTTGGGCCATGACTGTAAAAATACCATGCAAATAGGTTGAAAACGACGCCAAAGAAAATCTCAGGTTGCGACAACCGTGTAAAACCAAAATTCTGTTGTTGAGGTTCTCGGCTTAGCCCCTTGCCACAACTGCAAAATAAACAGCAGGTACGTCACGGTGATCAGCCGTGATATCCGCACGTACTGTGGCCGCTTCGTTGGACCATCGCTCACAGTACATGGATGGTCCCCCCGCGATATATAAAAAAGAAAGTATGACAGAAGTTTTTCATCTATTCAGATGTTACACGCACACACACTGTGGCACACACCCCACACACACACACGCGCGCGCGCGAGCGCGTATTTGTATATATTCGCTTGTGTATGATATCATCGTCAATGAATGCACAAAAATGATTGTAAGCAACTCTTGGAATGGTGGAGCCCCAAAATCCAAATGCCTCATGGACCTGTGGACTTCAAAAAATGGAGCCTTACCCCGGACGTTAGCCTTGACCGTGTAGGTTCACCCATATCCCACATCCCCGGACCTGACTCATCCTTCAACTTAACGCTTCCAAAGTCATCGATGACGCGAACAGTTCGCATGTAGGGGCCTTGAATCCGGAAACGAACTGTCGTGGGAATACCTTCCAAACTCACAGCCACAGTGCAGCCCAGCAGCTTACTTCCACTTTGGCATAAGAAACCACCTGGCGGGATTGTGTCGCATTGCAACTATCTGGGAAAATTCCCCAGGTTTGCAGTGAAAATCTGGGAATCGCCGGGGCTCCTTGTATTTGGCCGCGTCCTTCAAGGCACCATCTGGGTTGGAGGTCCTCCAGCCGAAATCACAGGCCTGACCCAAATTGGGTACCCCCAGGTAACTAACAGGGCTATGGAAGGATATGGAAGCCATGCTCCATTTAGTTCGATGATTTACCATTCCTATATTCCTATATGGTTAGACCATTGGATTTTGGTCTAGCCACAAATGTCCAGGTGTACTTCACACGGGGTTGATCAGTGGTCTCCACTCATTCATCATGGGTCTCCCGATTCGGTGGCTCTAAAAATCGGTGTGTAAATCCCCATTACCCTCTGGTAAACAGCCACATAACTATGGAAAATCACCATGTTTAATGGATTTACCCACTATAAAATGGTGATTTTCAACAGCAAACTGTTAGTTTACCAAAGGGTATCACTTGGGTCCTGTCAATGCCACAAGCTTGGCCATGAACTGGCACATCAATGGGGGACTGGCGCAGCCCACCACATGCCTCAGACCCAGACATGGATCATCAAATCAACATGAGAACTGGGCAATCAGTATATTACATATATATATATTTATACATATATTTATTTAGTTAGTTTATTTATTTATTTATATGCACCTGTTGTGTAGTTACAAGATATCATGGGAACTGGTATAGCTGGGTAATACAAACGGTTATAACTGTTAAAACTGCAACTGTAATAAGATAATAAATATGTAGTCAACAGAATGAACACAAATGACAGATACAACTGATACAAACAACCCTGATCTAAGAATTATATAGAAAATACATGTATACATATATATATATTTATACATACATATACATTTACATTTACATATACATATACATATACATATACATATACAGATACATACACACATATACCTGTATATATATATATATATACGTAAGTGTATATATATATATGTATAAACTCTCCCTCTCTCCCCTTTCCAACGATGAAAATTGACGTGTCCGGATTTGCCAAGGTACCAGGTATGACTCGGGCCAGAGGCGCTGTTCACTGAAGCCTGGCGGTTTCACAAATCCCGGACTTCATCCCCAGTGGAGTGTCGCAAAGAACCTGGTGTCTCAAGGCCCTCTAGTATAGGAATTGGCAGAGGTTGGGGAGTGTTTCGCAAAACAGACAGTTTTCCCCCTATCAGTTTTAGTCTTCCCTCGGCCACCTCTCAGGTTCGTCAACCACCACCACCACCTGCCACCACCACCACCACCACCACCACCACCTGGACCCCAAACAACCAGAAATATCAGAAATATATATTGATTATTATTAATTGATATATTGTTTGGTTATCGGAGGGTTCAAATTTGCTAGATGACACATGACTGGAACTGGGCTTTCGGGGGAAACCCCCACCATCTTTGTCCGCTGCGAAAAACCACCAGGTGGAGCCAAGGAACTCCAATCATTGGGTGTCAAGGGCCAACCAAAGGGAGACTTTTCATCAGAGAAGGTCGTGTTTTGCCACTGCGGGCATCCGCCATAGTTTTGCAGCCTGGCGCGAGAAAAAAAAAAGGGGTTGGAATAGATATGAATAGATCATGTATGCGGTCAAATACAGCGCACACAGGTAGCCCCAAAGTGAATGAAGCTGAATTGTCTTGAAGATTTATATGGATTCAAATGGTTTGACATTTAATGTTAGTAAAGATAGCAAAGCAATAGTAAACCATCCCAATTTTACCATAAGTGGGTGGTATGAACCATCAAAAATACGGCCCGGGTTTGACCCAAACATCAACCGACCTGCGCCCGGTTTCAGCGGAACTTGCTGCAACACATACGCCAACCAAAGCTCCTTGCATTTTGGAGTGCCGACCAACACCGGCACGGGCAAAGGGTACAACTCCGTAAGATCCCTGAGATCCCCTGGGCTCCAAACTCCACATGGCCACAAACATGGCCACACTCCCACGCCCCTGGCGCAGCCCGGGACAGGTCTGAGCCGAAAACAGTGGTAGCCTTGGATAAAAACGCTGGACAGTATACTGATGTCCCCATGAAAGCAGGTCGTACTTAAGTTACTTTCGTTGGATTCGGGAGGGCTCAACAAATCCCGGAAAACACATTTTTGGAAAGAGAGAAGTAGAAGTTTTGAACATTTGTTTGGGGCAGCTGGCCGACTCGAGGTATCCGCCCCACATGATTCTCTCCCACGTGAAACGTGTCACTCAGCGGCGCGCTGAAGGGTGTTTACCCCACTTTTTTGCATCCGCTTCAGTACCAAAAGTTAACCTCAGAAGAAAGCGACCCAATTCGTCATGCACTAAGCCCAATAATAAACCCCTTTTCGGGCTATGGTTCTTAACCCTGAAATGGTGAAGTTGAGCAAATGAGGTGTGCTTTGTTATTGGCTTATTGGGTTTATCGCTTTGTTCCCCCCTGATTGATGAATTTGCCAGCATCTCGCCAAACATGCCGCCACGCGACCGGTCGAACAGCCTTTTACAACCACAATCTCTGGCCCCTACCAGGCCCTACCATTCATGTACTTAGTGGGCGGGTTGTCCAAAATCGCTCGCCAATCGCGTGCCAAACAGCGTCGCCAAAATGTACCAATTGCGGATTGCGCTTCATTTCCCAACTTGAAAATTGAACTTACATCAACAGTCAACATATTTATATATATATATAATCCCCCTTGATTGAACGGTAGGAATCCTTACCCCCACCATTCCATAAACATGTGGTTTATGTAATGGTGGGGTGCGGGTATATGTTTATAGAATGGATACTTTTTTTTGGCTTGTATAATGGAAGACAGCTATTGTACGAGTGCTACCTAGCAGACCGGATATACAAAAAAATGCTGTCCCACTATGTTATGTGGAAATGACGTAAAATTAGATGTTGAAACAAAGTAAGATTGATTTATATGTTATGGAACGGGCCACATCTTGAGGGGCTCATTTTAAGATATTTTAAGATTCTTTAAGATATCTTAAGGCAAAATTACTGCTTATGTTAGGACATGTCATCACACTTGAACAAAATGGCTCACAATGGCAGGCTCATGTTGGACCCATGGATGCTGATCATCACTGTTTTATAAAATGGAAGGCTTTGGCTATATCCTGGACACATCAACACTGACCAAAGTTTAGCGGTTCTCCATTCAACCTTCCAACTTTTATATCATGGTAACATATTATGGTAACCACATTCCAGACCGCATATAAATATAAATGACGAAAATCTAACGTTTACAATTATTGTGTAAACGCGGATTTTGGGCCTAATGAATCCAAGGGGAAATGCAGCTTTATATGATGAATTGAGCCACCTGGATGGTCTAACAGAGTACCAAATTTTAAAGGTGTGTTGCTCATTTTCCCAAAATGTGGTTTTTATGAAATGACCCTGGGTTTTCCATTTTATACGGCACATGGGTTGTTCCAATCCATAGGGCTTCAATCAAGGGGGGTTATATTTGTATATATATATATACCTATTGGCAATTTTAAATTCAGATCGATCTTTGGAGTTGGCACTTTTGGCACCTGAGAAGGCAACTCCACATGAAGGGCTCGCCCGATCGCCCACCACGATTGGGGAAATTGCGGGCCGGCTGAAAAAGAAAGCCTGCACATTGACATCAACATATGGCAACGCACACAAATCCATACGGTATGCAACTATGATGATGGTCACTTAGTCGAAATTAGTCGAAATTAGATGATACTGATAAGTCTCACAATCCTGATTGCATCGCTCGCCGCTCGCCACGCAGGGGTTTCCAATCGCGAGAATTACAAACTACACTTGTGCCATGATTTTGTCATGTACATTTACGGATGGCTGCCACATGGTTATAGCCCTGTTGAAACAGTACTTGAACCCACTTATAAGTTGAAGGAAAGCCTCCAGGTATTACTGGTAGGAGCCCATACGTGACAAGACCAACCTCCTTATGTACGGAATGCTCATCCCACCATTGTTAGGAGATTATTAGTAGATAAGACCCCTATTCATGGGTGTGGAAAATCTAGTCAGGAAATACACACCCCAAAATTCATACAATGAACAATTAATGAATAATTTCACATGAAACCTAAAAAGAACGCGTTCAAAACGATTTCACCGCTGTATATGCCCCTGGATATGGGCTACATGTTAAATTTGGGGGTCACCCCAGTCTTGAGGATGGCACATCGATATTTGGTGCAAGGCGTTGATTCCAAGTTATGTTGGTTGGTGTCGACCCACATCTAACTATAGTTATTTCATCACCATGAAGCCAACAGTTATAAAAGTTATGAACCAACTTCGCTAAACTAAATCTTAAGTAGACTAAACCCCATGAAATCCCTATGAATTCTCCATGACATCCCATGAAAAATCGGCCATGGCTGTGCCATGACTGCGCCCAGCCACTGAGATGGACGGACTCAAAGCGCGCACTTGATGCCACCAGCCGCTGGGCATGAACACCACCTGGCGCCGAACTCGGCTTCGGTCGTAAATGTGCAAAACATATCAACATATGAATCTATGAAAAAGTATGATCTAAATGTGTGTGTGTGTGTGGAAATGTCGATTTTAGGAAAATGATGATGATCAACCAACGGATTTTGGTTTCAGAGAAGCCAAGACTGACGGCCAGACATCACCAGGGACCAAATCCACCACCAGAACTTCCTGAGCGTGTGCATGCATCCATACATATCTGTGTGTTTGGATCGTATTCTCCTCATCTCTCTATCTCTCTATCGTATAATATTACAAAATATTATACATATTATCTGCTGTCTATCTGTTGTACAATGTTGTATTCAATTGTCTGTTATGAATTGATCATCGGTTGTTGAATCTGTCGGCAACTCTCGCTCCGGTTCGCATCTAGGCGGCAGCATCAGCAAAGTTGGGATACTTGGCCAAGTCCGGGTCCTTCGCAATGATCTGCATCTAGGTGTGGCTATAATATATGTTCTAACTAACCACCAAGAAGCCAACTGTTGGGTTACAATATGTTATAATACAACTAAGGTATAAGTAGCCATGCTTTATAATCAGCTTAGCTAACTTACATTGCACCACACTGCAATGGTTGCTTTGGTTTCGAGGATATTTAAGTTCTTAATTGGTTTTGCCAACAAATGGTAAATGGCAGTGGGTTATAAGTTATAACCTGTTGTTTGAGTACGAAACATATCACCTCCCCAGCTGGCAATTCATCCCCTTTTGCCTTGGTGAAGCGATGGGATCCCAAATGCGAAGATCCAATAACAATTTCCCTCGTTGGGTTTCTTTGGAGCTGTGCATACCAATTGTGTGCGAAAAGTGGAGGAACTCCGACTCAAAATGCCTCACCCAGTTTTTTCAGATCTCCAAGTGATGGAGATGGCAGATCGAATCGGACATGCTTCAGGAGACTCTTTCATGGTGGAATCGGTGGCCTACCCCAAGCTGAACTTAAAATATCCGCAATCTGGCAATATCTGGCAATATTCTCACATACCAACCAACGATCCTTACTCATCTGCTCTGATCCTTGATCCTTCAATAGCTGGTACAGTGATACTGGTTGTGCTCCATTTTTGGACCCCTATTTCTCATGGAAGTGAGCCACTCATGGTCTGAGTTCGGATTTAATTGTAATTAGAGGAAACCATGATTTGCGCGATTCAAATGCTCGGCATTGTTGTAGAAAGCCATTGGGCCGTTTTGCCATCTTGGGAGATCTTGGGTCTGCATGTTGTCCCATTCCATATGCATATGCCTATCCATTGAATCTCTCTTCCTCCACGTTGATCGGAGAGATGTTGCCCTGCGCTGAAGTTCCAGAAGCATCGGCATCGGCCACGTGCAGCTTGGAGTGCTGGTCTGGCGCCAGTAGGATCTTAGTTTCGCTGCAGATGGGTGTGTCCAATGAAGTCAATAAATACAAAATTAAAGACAAGATGAGATGGATAAAAAGTTATGACAGAAATAAATTTCAAGAAAATACGCGTAATATAGTGTGATATTCAGGTAAAAGTTCCAAATTGGTAGTTTGCGAAAAATGCCACAATGAAAAAAAGTAGGAATGCAGTATGAGGTCGACACAATCAATATAATTCCTTGCCAAGTTGAGATTTTCTTATTGAAAATCCCTCACAGTCAAGACATACCCTTATTTTGAATCTTTGGGATGATGTAAAACTTTTGTAAAATGTTGGTTTCTAGGTATTGTTTATCATTGCGATTCACCACATTGTTCGCAACAGCCCACCCTCATGGGTGTATCGCAGGATCGTGTCGAGGTGCCAAACGTTTGAAGCCCTGGACTTGTGCCAGAAAGTTGTCCTGAGAGGATCCTGCACCAGTTGGTATACCATTGGTGTGGCTAAGACAATGTCATAACCGTTGGTGGTTAACCACTGGTAAATCTATATATGGTAATCATTAATCAACCATATTATATTATTATATTATAATGTTGGTAAAACAATGCCATGACATGCCATAACCACCCATGACTGGGAATGGTTTATACAAACTATACATTTATGGTGATGACTGGGGATGGTTTATGGCATTGCTTTACCCACATGAACTATGAAACACTGCAAATAATGGAATGGGATAAACCATCTACCAACTGGTGCAGGATTTATTCCATCCATAGGGGGATAAGCAGCACTGGAAGTGGAGTGGAAGTGGCTCCTTTGCACCTCCGAAATCTAGTGTGGCCGAATGTAGTTGCAAAAAAACGATTGGTGTTACCGTTACCTATCAAACATGAAAACATGGATATCAACCAGCAATTTTAGGGCCAACCTTCTATACCGCTGGAAAATCCTGGAAGCAAATTTGAGCTGCTTGAGCTTGACACTACGTATATTCCTCGATGAAAATGGCTAAGACTAAGAATTAACCTCTATATATATAACCTACCAAACCAAGACGCCAATTCTCAAGTTTCACCAACCCTAAACTCA